TGACCTGTTATGTTATCATTATTGTCTTGTTGCTGCATTTATTTTGTGTGTGCAGTGAGATTTGAAAATGTGTGAGATTTGTGTGTCTGTATACTGTAATTATCTGAAAATGTGTAAAATAACTTATTTGTAATTGATTTACAAATGTGTAAAAAATCCACAAATCTGTATTTAGATCTGCAAATGTATAGATCAGTCTGTAAACACACACGGTTACTTAAGTCTTATGTATTTATGCTTCAACACCCAGAAATACAGACAAACCATTGGTTACAAGTCAAGCAGTGGTCTCACCTCTCTTTATACACGTGAATTTTGCAAAACTTCTGGCATGTGACATCTGCAAATGCTTAGAAGATGGTTTAGCTGTAATAACTGTGGCAGGCTATATTATCATAAAATGAGCTTTACCAGACATTCCAGATATCTTGAATCATTTTTCTTGACAAGACATAGTTATTTAAGATATCTGCATTTATACTTAGACAAAATAATAATTTTAGATATCTATAATTCTGACTAGTCTAAATTACTTCAGATTTACCATTTATTTGGATGGGGTCTCCAGTCTAAGATATTACTGTCTTTCTGGTATACTTCAGATATCAACAATAAAAATTATGACTAGTTGTAAATAAAAAATGAGATATCTCACCTTGTTATTGAAGATATTTTGAGATGTATTGTATAATGTATTTTAAGACATATTAAAGCAGGATTAAGTTGCAGATATATTGAAAGCAAATAATAATTAGGTGAAATTAGGTAATGTTATAAATATCTAGAATGACATTTTTGTCTAGTCTAAATTAAATTCACTTTTTTTAAATCCAGACAGACTTTATATTTCAGAGATTTTGAATCACTCTGATGTGTCAAAACTTGGCATTTAAAGAGCATTTTTGGTGGAAAGTTCAAAAAGGCATTTTAGACTTTCTGGTGTTTGCTATTCAGTGGTCTGCAATGGCTAATGCAAATTATCTGGTTTTTAAATAGACCTTTAGTGCTGAAGCTCATGCTCGAGCGGGTTTGGACTTAGAGAAAATGTGTTTGTTTGTTTTTTAACACATTAGTGGTATCTCATCTGTCTTGTCTGGAATTGAGAGCGGCTGGCTGAAGTCTGAGCTCCTGAGTCGGATCGACCGTGAGATACTGTAGGTGCCACTAACTCAGCGGCCCTTGAATATCCGGCTTCAAAATCACTCCTCAACGGCACTTCACTGCGTATTTTTCAAGCACTTTTGGATTTCACAAAGTTCTTGTTTGCCACACATCCCATTTTGCCAGCACCATTGCAGGCCAAAATTCTTAATGGTCTTAACTGTTTGGACGGCTCGGTGACAGCACTAGGGGGCTATTCCGTAATTCAGATGTCAAAATACATAGATTTGACTAGTCAAGATTAACTTTGAGATATCTTGATTATAATTCCAGATGTGTGAAACTTTAAATGATGAATCGGGTGATGCAACTTGACATATCTCAAAAAGCATTTTGACCCATCCAAAATGTGATTGATATATCTTGAATTGTTATTTTCACTAATCATAATATAATTTTAAATTCTTAAAGGAACATTAAGAATAAACAAAATTTTGTTTTTCCATGTGAAAATATTTTCTTTGATATCTTAGAAGTAATTACGAATGGTCAGAAAAGCTGATTCTATGATAAACGGACTGCCATAAGCCTGCGAGCCTGCACTCACACATGAAGCTTCTACTCATTTGTAGACCTGACATGGCACAAGTTTTGCAAAAATCACGTGTGTAAACAGAGCCAACCAAGAAACTGCTTCACTTGTAACCAATAATTTGTATTTCCGGGTGTTGAAGCAAAAATACATCAACACTTAAGTCACTCTGTTCGTTTACAGACTGATCTAAAGATTTGTACATCTTAGTACATCTGTAGATCTGAATACAGATTTATGGATTTTTTTACACATTTGCAAATCAATTACACACATATTTTACAAATTTGCAATCTACTCACACATTTTCAAATCCCACTGGACACACAAAAATATGATACAGACACACAACACTTCACACACATTTGCAAATAATATTGCAACAATAACGCCCCCATCAACATGGGCTTTATCTGGGAAAGAACAAAATGTTATGTGTTATTAATTTATTTAATGTTGCTTATTGTTTGAGTAAGAGATTTATTTCTTTACATTTTTTTGATGTGTTTTATCTTCCTTTTTCCCTGAAAGGTTGTCTTAAAGCCGGTGTAGATCTGCTCGGGGCGATATATGCAACTCCACTCGGACAAACTTTACTGCACCCCTGCCTTAAGAATCAAATCTCTGTCTTAACATATTATTATTTTTCATACAATTGCAAATCAATTACAAGCAAGTTATTTGAAACATTTGCAGACACTCATACAGACACACAAATCTCACATTCTTAAATCCCACTGTACACACACAACACATATAGACACACAACATATACAGACACATTTGAAATTAATATTGCAACAGTAATGCCCCCATCAATATGGGTTTTATCTGGGAAAGAACGATACGTTTTGTGTTATTGATTGAGAGATTTATTTCTTTACATCTTTGTTTTGTGTTTTATCTTCTTTTCCCCTAAAATGATGTCCTGAAGCCGGTTGCTGAAGAAAATTGAAAACTGCAAGGTCTCAGCCACAAACGCGACCCCAGCCACCCTCCTCTCCATGACACTCCACCCAACAACAAAAATCAAAACACAGAGTCTACGGGAGGTGCAGAGGGGCCGGCATTGGACAACAGAGGGAGTGGGTTATATATTAAAAAGGAAAAATGCTGCAAGTTGTAAAAAAAAAACAACTGTCCCAAACAGTGTTGCGACCACCAGCGGGAGAAAATCCTCAACCCATATGGAGCCAGACACTTAGTAAAGTCCTAAACAGGAAAAGTTTTTCCATCCACACCAACCCCCAGACATACCCCACTGAGCTTTTTTTTTTTTTTTTTAAGTATATAAACAATTGTTGCACATGTGTGACCAAGGGCAGCAATATTCATAGCAGACCGTGATGCAATGGATATTAATATCCTTTCTTTTACCTGAAAACAAGCAGGGTCAAAACCAAAGCGTTTGTGCAATTTTCGCTTTGGCTGGAGTTTTTAGGATATTCAATTAGTGTATAAATCCATATATGTCTGGCTGAATGGCACAACCACAAAATACATTTACTGTTTTTTCCAGATATCCTGCTACATATGGACTGTCTCTAAGACTCGAACATAAACATATCTTTTCTGCCTTCCTGCCACATATTTTCTCAGGGGTATTCTGTTTTTATTTTTACTAAGTAATGTGTTTAATTTGCAATTAATGCTTAACTCAATACGTCCTTCCAAATGGAAAGATAATTTGCAACTTTCTTAATTTACATTTTTTCTAGTTGGAAGAAATTTTTTTTTATAGTGTTTTTTGTGTTTCCTTCTTAGCACCATTTATGAAATTGCATTATGTTTATGTACTTGCAGCATGTTTGCACCCCTTAGCCACCATAAGTTACATTGCATTTAGTTAACAGTATTAAAATGTTGATTAAATCTGTAATGATTTTACTTACTGACTGAAAAAGAGTGTCTCAAAATGGCTGACATTCCAGAAGCCATTTCTTTGTTTCCATCAGTGGCTGTGAAAAAGAAAATTGAATTTAAAGGTCATTTTTAATATAATATAAATACATTTCAGAATGGCTTTGCATATATGCTTTTCTAATCTTTGTTTACTTACCAGCATTAACAGCAACTGCAGCATTTGTCACTTGTTTGCTAAGTCTCTTGCTGTCGTTGGCCAACATGGAGGCTGCTCCATTGCTCACATGTTCTAGATTTTTCTCTTTGACTATTTGACCAATTTGACCCAGCAACTCTTTAAGTTCAAGATTCTTCTGTTCTAAACATCTGCATTTACATTTTTTGATCAGCTCCTGTAATGCAGGTTTATTTACGTATGGTGTCACAGAATAGGCACTGTACTTATTAGGTTTCAGAATCATTATCAGTGAATGTTCAAATGATTGATCACTGAAAGTTTGAAGGACGCAGCACATTCTGTTTCTGTCTTTCTCTGTGAACTTTTCAGGCTGTATGACCAATAGAAACACATGAGGTCCAGGAGCAGAGATCGTCTTAAACTCATGTAGAAACTCCTCAAGTTTGTCTTCTGCACTAGAATCCAGATCCAGGGTGTTGATGACAGTTAATTTATTTTTTTCCACTCGTCTACTGATTCCTACAAAGTTTGGTACTTTGAAATAATCATCTCCCAGTATGAAGTTCCCCACTGACATCCGCTGAGACCAGCTGCCTCCGAGAAGAACAACCCTCAGCTCAGGAACTGGAACTAAGGACAGATATCAAGTTTAAAGAAAGTTTATCAATCTAGAAAAACTAAAAATATAAATGGTGTCTATTAAGATTATTTCAGATGTCTAATGTTATCTAATTAAGATTTATAAGAAGAGAAAAAAAACATGAATTTAAAATTTGTCTGGAAACTCTTAGAGGTTTTAGACATTTTTTTCTTTATACAATTAGTGTTATATTTAAACCCAGATAAGCACAGCTCTCTAAAGACGTAAAGTGTATTGTTGAAGTCAGACAAGAAACTAAGGAATTGCGAAAATATTGTCTCTATGACAAAAACACCTTTTGTTATTTTTATCCCTCTCAACAACAAGTAATATACAGATAGTGTCTAATTTTAATCTTTTCAATGCTTATTTATTTTGTATTTTTAATAACCAAACATAGGGAATTTGAGTTTTTTTTTTAGCATAGCATAGATATCATGAAGTAAAACCAGAATAGATGATATGTTGGTGAAGATTCTCAGTCATCCAGGTCATAGTCATTCCAAAAAAGTAAAACAAAACAATCCACTGGACTTTCTTTACAAGTTGGAGGACATTTCAGTTAAGCGGAGTGGTGTATGCAGTTTAGCACAGTTAGGAATGCTCTGATCTTTATATTGGAGAAACCAAATAACCTCTCTACAGATGCATGGCCCAACACAGAAGAGCAACCTCCGGACAAGACTCAGTGGTTCATCTACACCTTATGAACAAAGAACATTCTTTTGCAGAACAGGATGTTCACATTTTGGACAAAGAAGACAGGTGGTTTGAGAGGGCCATCTATGTTAAGAAAGAAAAAACAACCTTAGACAGAGGGGCTGGACTCAGATTGCAGCTTTCAAAAACCTACAATGCTGCAATTGAGATCATTTCTTCCACTTCATTGCATCCCCAACCCCTTTACAGGGGAAAAGAAGACCTCGCCTATTCAGCCAGGCCAACAATTCCCTTTAACGACCAACCTTTCAGAGACATAGACAGGTATGGGGCATTGCAGGCTAACAAAAGAAGCCAAACAACCCCCATTCTAAAGGGGTGGATCCCTTGGTCTGTTTCAATTTCCATGTTTTCTAAACAAAAACAAAGGCTTTGTTGGGCTACTGTATAAAACCTGGAACTCAACGCTATTTCTTACATTTTGAACTGAAAAAGCTTCCTGGATGGGAAGCTAAACATCTTCAAACTTGGAAACAAAGTCCAGTGGATTATTTTTTAAGTTTTTTGGAACAGTATAGATAATATGTGGTAAGTTTGCTGCTTTCTGTGATACTTGTGACAGAACATTTCTATGGCCACAGAAAATGTAAATGGTAGGTAAGTAACTAGAAACTGCTAAATCAATGTGTTTTTAGTGTAAGGTGATTAATTATATCTCTCTCCTCCATCCAACATTCAAAATAAGTTCACTCATAGCATTTTGTCCCTGATAGGATAGAAGATCCCGAAAACATCTTTAGAAATTCTTGGAAAACAAATCTTTATCTTTGTATTTTGATTATTTTGAACATTATTTACTCACTAAGGGGTTCATCATTTATGTGCTCTTCAGAAGGAGCTCCTGAAAATAAAGAGATGTATTGATACACCCAAAAGATTTTAACAGTTTGTCTGTGATGTCTTATTGTGTAATATTTCAACAGGGAGTTTTATTGACTCACCATCTTGTGCAGCAGCCATGATTTTTCTGTTACTTATCAGCAACTCAGTTGTGGTTTAAAACAAACTACATAAAAAAAAAAAAATCATAATAAGTACAGTAGATATTGAAAATAAAATAAAATAGTTTTTGTACGATCCTGAAAACAGAAACATGATGGAAAGCATCTATAAATATGTCTTTCATTTTCCATGAAAAATGTCTTAAAAAGGTGTTGAGATGATTCAAAAGGTATGAACTAGATTTAGATGTGAAAAGAAATATCAAGAAACAATAAAAGTATTGTTAATGTTAAAAAACAAACAAAAAAGAAATGATAAAAATAATCACATATTCACACATAAACTGACCAATCAGCATAAAGGAGATGGTGTTGGGTTGACACAGATCAGCAGCCGCTGGAAAAAACAAACACACACACACATTTTAACCATAGGAGCATTAAATCATATTGTTTGTGAAAATCAGATAAAAAAAAAAATGAAAGTTACCTTAAATGTAATTTGCATAAAATTATAAATCAGCATATCCACCCTTTTTCCTTTTTTGAAGAAAATAATAATATTTCTCCTCTTTGGCTGGTTTTCATGGGGTTTATTGCTATAGAAAATAATAATAAATGTTAACTGCAACTTTTTAAATTCAAAATATCATGCAATTCATTGCTCTTATTAAATCATCTTCATTAACTAATTCATGTTTTAAAGGACCAGATGTTTCTCCTATGTTATATTTTATTGCATTAGCGCTGTAATATCTAGATCACATTTTTAGTACAAAGTAATACAACATTTTATATTGATGACATCAACAATATTTGACTGTTTAAATTATTCAAAAAGCTCAGTATACTGATTTATTATCCAAGAACAACATTTGTAGTTACCATGTATGTTATGGGCTATCAAAGTTGTTTCTCTGGTGTTATTAAAAGCTTTGCTAGTCCTGTTTCCAACTTTTTTACCCACCTTTCATTTCAGACTTCATGAAAACTGTCCTGTAAATTCCCATAACTTTCACATTATGTGCTACAACTTTGGACCTATTTCTTCAATGCTCCTTATTTTTGTTGTAAATTTTTTACAAAAAAACAACATTTGATCCAGATTTCAAGGGTTTCCAACTTCCTAAATAATAGTTCATATTTCTCGATTTCAGTCTGTATTTCTGCACCTCTTGGCCAGAAAAGTTTAGTAAAATAATGTTTGTTTTTCTTTTGGTGATTTTCATATTAAGAAAAATGCATTTAAAGAAAACTATGCTTAAGGGTAAACATAAACCTTCAATTATTTTTCTTAGTAATTCACCAAATTTCAGTAGTATATGGACGGATCTCTTCCATAGTAATAGAACAACATTTAAAAAACATTTCTAAGATATAAGAGATATAAGAGATAATTGGAAGTAAAGAATGATTGGAAATAAATCTACTCTTTCATGTAATAAACAAATATGCAAACAAAACTAGGAGTTATTTCAAGACATGGCGTGTTGTCAATAACAGGAACCCCTGCCCCCCCTTCAAAAAGTGTCAAGACAATGATGGGATTTATGATGGTGGTGGTTTAGCAAGTAATGCTCATCAGCATCAGTCAACCTCCCCAACTTCACACACACACACACCCTGTTGCCAAACCACAGCAGAGCTTAACAATAAATTGATAGATTTGTATCTAAGGAGCTGTTTTAGTTGCCACCATTGAAAATTATTTTAACTAACCTAATATAAAAAATAAAGAAAACTCACACTTCTGTTAAACTGCTTGCTTAATAACATATTTAGAGTCACTCGACTTACCTGCGGCTGTCCCATTACATGCTTGTTTGTAAAAAATATATAAAACATCAAGGACAAACAAAAGTAGGTATCTACAGAAACTATAAAAGAAAGCTAAAATATATATTATAATCTAATCTTTTTAAGCCAGTTTCAGTGTCACTGCCTCCCAGGTGATGATCAACTGAAGGAAGTTTTGCTAAAATACCTGCACTGGGTGTAACGCTGACATTCTTCCTCATTCCCGGAGAAACTGAAGTTAAAACTAAAAAAAAATCACTAGAAGAAGAAAAGCAGAGTTTAAACAATCTGTCTGAATATGAAACATAAAACATGCTATAAACACAAAGCTCCAAGCATTATTTATTTATTAAAGTCTGTTTATTTAAAGGTGAAGGCACAGTTACAGCATTAAAACCCTTATTTCACATTGCCATTCTTTAGTATTTTCTTTTCTTTTTGTTAAAATTGTTGGTTTTTGTTTCAGGTCATCAAACATATTTTAACATGCAATGAATTAAGCGGCATTGTGCATTAAATTCCATGAATTTACATAGATTCAATAAATGAATGTGTGGGTTTGCAATGTGACATCGGGTTTAAATGGTGTTTGAGTTGTGACTAAGTGGATAATGTATGTTACTGCTTTCTTTTTTAAAGGGTTGATTGTGTTTTTAGGCCAATCAACTTAAAGCTTCCCTCCAGAGACACCTTAAGAGTCATAATGAACCAAGAGTTCATACAGTAAACTGAGCTTAGCTTGTTTTGCTAGAAAAGATTAACATAGAAGCACAGCTGGATGACAGACAGAATGCAGACCCATCAGGTTGTTATAAAAAAGTTTTTATAAAGACAATGTTTCTAAGAACAAAGGAGGAATTTTAGTTTTTTTTTTTCAAACAAATTATAAATGTTCTAGTCAAGTAAATGTGTTTTTCCTAGAAGAAGAAAGGGAGAAGGCAGAAGCCTTCAGCAGCTTCCATCATCACTGGAACCTGTTCCTCAGGAATTTTTACCGTTGGTCTTTGGTTCATGTCAACGAAGCATTTAAAGAGATAATGCTGCCAAATATTTCCCGTAACAACAATCTGTACAATCTGAGTTTCATTAAGATAAGAACAATAACTGAAAAAAAAATACTGAAATGTTTTTTAATATGTTGGGTTTCTCTACAGCGGTAGCGCTCCTTCTTACAGACAGGGTGTCTAAGTTTCTGACTAAAGGAGCTGCTCAGCTCCTCTAAAGTCTGGTGCAGGGGGTGAGAGGTGTTGTCCATGATGAATGTGAGTTTGGACAGCATCCTCCTCTCAGCCACTTCCTCCACCAAGTCCGGAGGGCAGCCCAGGACAGAAGTGGTGTTCCTCACCAGCTTATTCAGTCTCTTTCTGTCCCGCTCTGAGCTGCCAGGGGCCCAGCAGACAACGGTGTAGAGGAGGGCTGAGGCAACCATCAAATCAACCTTTAGTTTTCTTGTTTAGGTCAGTCACAATCAGCAACGTTTTTCCCCGTTAGTCAACTAGCATTTCCACAGCTGATTAACATGTTGTTTTCACCACAATACACTTCTGTGGAAACCTAAACATTCTGAAAGGAAGGAATACAGGGGCTAAATTCTGGAGCATTTTTTTATTGCAAAGAAGCAGACTCTCAATAATCTGCCTGTTTATTTTGGATCATTTAATAACACAGAGCCTCTTTGATAGAATGCAGACTATGTTTCTCACAAAAACCCTTCAATCACAATGACATGATATGTTGCCAATTCTTTTGGTCACATAGCAATAAACGGTACAAAAACCAGCTGAACAGGAAGTTAAAGACAAAGAAGTCTTAGATTCTGTGCTTGGCTCCTGTCAACTGAGGGGGGATGATGTAGAATGACTGTTTGTGGAGGAGAGTTTTGATACCACCTTTTATAGATAAAAACAAGGGATTCTGATGGCCTGAGCCCTGCTGACTGTTACTGGAGGTTCCTAGTAGTATGTTTTAATTCATGATGCTTTTATTGGTAAAGAGGTGATCAATGAAGCAAATTGTCCAAATTAAAAGGTTAAAATTGTTAGCAATAGACAATTTATTGTTAAACATTGCAACAGAAAATTCAGTTGTTATCTGATTACATTCATTATCTTTAGGAATGTTTGTTTCACTTTTCATCTGTCTGGTGTTTCTTGGCAAAATTAACAGATGTCTTTTTTTATAGGAGGATCTTCGTCCTAATCCAATTCGTGGACTTGTTTCTCTTTGGGTCAGTTGAAGAATAACCTTACCTGATCTACTTTACATTTACACTTGGAGCCGTTGATTGCATTGCTACTCTTTTCATTGATTAATTTGAAACAATCAGATAGTTTACCTGCAAAAGGTAAGAAACAGAGCGTGGCTATTTCTTTTTAAAGATACTTCTAGTGGAGTAACAGTATGGGAGAATTATCTTGCCATAATGCAAGAGCGCATAATTTCAATTTGAGAAAAGAATTTCATCTTCTTGCACTCAAAACTTGTAATGCTCACACTCAAAACATGCGCTCTCTCTCAAATATTTTCTCTTCTCTCTCAAATCTTTGTTTCTTCTCTCAGATTTAATGCTTCTTGCACAGATATTTTCTCCTCTCGCTTGCCTCCTTCTCTTCGCGCACAAATCGCGCTCTGCTCGAGTCTCAGTTACGCTTGCAAACCCGTAGGCTCTGCTTGCGGATTTTTTTTGCTCTCTCTCAGATTGGATCGGATCGTCGCCTAGCAACCGTTCCAGCCAATAGAACGACAGCCTCGGAAAGGGTGCGCTTGTCTAACTCTACTGAGTGTGCCTGTGATAAACCTAACCGACAATAAAATGGCTTTTTAATTTAAAAGCTATGCATTTTCAGGGGTGACGTGATGTGAACAGAAAACTACCACCTCAGAGTTGCTCGTCAGAAAAAAAAAAAAGTTTTAACTAATTCTAGCTAATTCTGCCTCCAGCAGAAATTAAGTGACTTTTCATTGGTGATTCTTGAATCACCCTTTATTATTGCCTTTTTTTATTTTCCTGATTGTTGTTGTTTTTCAGCTTCTTATTTTAATAGCTGGACACAAAGCGGTAAACAGTGCAGTAGTAGGTAGTCAGTAAGCAAGTCCACAATTATCAAAGCTAAGGTTTAAAGCTTATTGAGCCAATGGATTGGAGCATGAACGAAAACAAAAGTATTTCATGCATTAGAAAAGAAGGGAATCATAAAAACTAAAGTACAGAATGTCTGTGTGGCATAGCAATTGTTACACTATGAAAGCTTGTAACCGTCGTTGTTCCTGTTCACAGCAACAGGCCGGTTATCTCAGCCTTTCCTGAGCAGAGAATTCTTATCTCTGTTCCCATGATGCTCAGGATGCCTGGAGTTTGTAATCTCCTGCAGTGGTGCCCTGCATGCAAAGGGATGAACCCATTAGTGATAGTCTTAAAGGGCTGCACCTGTATTCATTGAGTCTGCGGTCACAGTAATTAACCAACATTTTCTGCTGTAATCAGAGCCTGGGTGTTGGATTTCAAGTCAAGTCTAGTTAATATTACACAAAAAAAGAAAAAATATAATCAACTTAAACTGCTTTCCTCGCTTTCCATTCAGGGTTGAATGGTGAAAATAAAACAATGCCTCCATAGACACAAAAACACAAAAAAACTTAATGGCTAAAGGTGAATTGTTTTGTTATGTTTAGAGTCAGTGTACAAAACAACACGTTATCCATCAGCGGCTCTCCGCTGGCATCATCAGTTGGTGTTTTCAAAGGCTGGACCGAGTAAAAAAAGAGAATTCAATCAAATCCAAAAACCTTTTATTTTTTTAAACTCTTTTTTTAAAAATAAAGTCTAACATTTCGCTCATCATTGTTCCAGTTACCATCATATCGAGCTATATTCAGACTTTAACCAACACTTTCCCTGTCTGTCTGCTTGAACCCAAGTCATTTCAGTAAAGTGACAGAAAAACACAGCCTGCCGTATAAAAGTGTTTTTTTCTTAGAAAATGTACACACAGAACATTTGAACATGTTCAAAATATTTCATTACATACAGACCGAATAATCATAATAGAAAATAATAGTTATTACTTATTAATTATAATATTTAAGGATCTTAAAGGACAAATGCAATTGAGGTGTTAAAGATTATATTGCTGACTGTGATCCTGCATTTGGCCAGCAGATAGTTTCATGAGCACATGAAGCTTCATGAAATGATCCCTTTGATGAAGCGATTGGCTCGGAAAGGAATTGTCCAATCACGTTTAAGATCGATGTCCTGTAGGGAGGAGTCAGGAGAGGCCAGCCAATCCAAGATAGGGAGCTTGCAGCTGGGAGCCAATCTCAAACCTGGAACTGCACAGCATTATGTGAACAATATGGTCTCAGGCCATAACTATTTGTGATTGTGAAACTTTGCTTTACCACTAGATACACTTGAAGAACCAGAGGCCTTCAGTAGCAGCTGTATTGTTTAAACGAATAGATAAAGGGCTGTTTTCCAATAAACAACAGCCCCCTTTCTAAATAAGATTGCTATAAATTAAAATGAACTTCAGTTAAAGCACATATTTCTTACCCATCATTATCATGTTAAGTTTGTGTTTCATCCATAACTAACTAACCTGTCACTCCTCGCTTATCATAATTTGTTAGATTAAATCACAAAAGGAAAAGTAAAAAATAATAGCACCTCTATAATTTGTATGGCTTCATATGTTTGTTAATTGTCTAAGAATTTAGTGAGGGCAGAAATGTATTTTTTGTTAAACAAAATCCACTACTCAGACATGTTTGTCAGAATCCCCCTGGACACCTCACTTGGGAGGTGTCCCAGACACGATGGAGAGACTATGTCTCTCGAATGGCCTGGGAGCACTCAGGCTTCTCCAAGAGGGGGTTGAGGAGGTGTCTGGGGAGAGGAAAGTCTGGGGGTCTCTGCTGAGACTGTTGCCCTCCGTGGTCCCAGAGGAAGTGGTAAACGATGAGTATGAGTAAAATCCTCTAGTTCTGCTCTGAAAGATGTTTTAGGGTGTTTTCCAAGTAATATTTTTTTAATGCACATGTCAGAACATTGCACGCACTGATATCTGATATACAGGTTTATGTGTCATTTGAGCAGCTCATTGAACAGTCTTATTGTAATGTTTTCACATTTCTCTCTCAGTGTGCTGAGATA